AGAACAAGAACAGGAACAGGAACAAGAACAAGAACAAGAACAAGAACAAGAACAAGAACAAGAACAAGAACAAGAACAAGAACAAGAACAAGAACAAGAACAAGAACAAGAACACACAAGAACAACAACAACAACAACAACAACAACAACAACAACAACAACAACAACAACAACAACAACAACAACAGCAACATCAACAACAACAACAACAACAACAACAACAACAACAACAACAACAACAACAACAACAACAACAACAACAACAACAACAACAACAACTCAACATCAACAACAACCAACACACAACAACCACACAACAACCACACAACAACAACACAACAACAACAACAACAACAACAACAACAACAACAACAACAACAACAACAACAACAACAAACCAAAACAACAACAACAACAACAACAACAACAACAACAACAACAACAACACCAACAACAACAACAACAACAAGACAACAACAAACAACAACAACAACAACAACAACAACAACAACAACAACAACAACAACAACAACAACAACAACAACAACAACAACAACAACAACAACAACAACAACAACAACAACAACAACAACAACAACAACAACAACCACAACCACAACCACAACCACAACGACGACGACGACGACGACGACGACGACGACGACGACGACGACGACGACGACGACGACGACGACGACGACGACAACAACAACAACAACAACAACAACAACAACAACAACAACAACAACAACAACAACAACAACTGGAGTTCTAAGTGGTGCAGGGCTCTGTTCATCAATAACATCAATGGCAAGGCATGCCCTGACTTTCAGGTGCCATTAAATCCTCTGGTCAGCAAGCTCACAAGAATGCAAACTGCAACAAGGAATGACACACCTCTGATGAGCTCACCTACAAATTGCCACATGTTTTGTGGCCAAGGAACATTACTCATGACTCTTCTGTTTGTGTATGGCCACAGGATTGTTCTATGCGCGTGCTCTTCTGTAGTTGAGAAAATGTCAAGCACGCTAAGCTGGCTCCCGATGATAATTAGACAGTAGATATCCCCGGGTCTCACTACTTCCGCCTGCTCAAATGATGCAATGACAAGCATACCGCAACGTGTCCAGCCTTGTTGCACAATCGGAAGATGAATCAACCCATGTTGAGTCATATTCGCAGAATTTGGATCCGGAAACTCAAACATAAGTCCAGGTTTAGAGTCCGACATTCCGGGTCCCAGATTGGTCCCCTTTAATTTGCCACACTGTATGCAGCCATATGAAACGCAAGGCTTGATCAAGAAGCATGTTAGAGAGATTCCATAAGCAACAAGACATTGATGTTCTTGTCCCTTCCACTAACCATCAATTGCCACTTCTGGGTACTCCAAGTCCAAATCCTATGGCATCGAATCGGGCTCCCCACTGCACCGACAGGAACCTCAGACACTGGGTGTGCCCGCTGCCCAAACAGTTTAGCCGATATGGAATTGCACACATGATGCGTTGCAGGCAGACCATGCACGTTCTCTATGAGCCATGCAGGGTCGCATCGCTACTCATGTCATTTACTTGGCACCGTGTAACTTGAAGAGTTCCCCAACATAAGGACAGTTCATCGTGTCCTGGACAACTTGTCGGCGCTTGCCCAGCCACATGTCACTTCGAAGACGAATCCTCCCTTGCTATTGCTGCTGTATGCTAAAGTTTAACGCATGTCTCTGATCTCAAACGCACGGCCCACGCAAGATCAAACCTAAAGAACCCCTTCGGCAGTGCTGCAAAAGGAATTGCTGGTAGCCCTTGGTCCCCATTGGCTCCGGGCGCAATGAAGGCCGGCGGCCGCAGTAAATAACGCCACCTAAGCCGAGGAGACCGAGGTTGCTCTGCACATAGTTACTATGAGTTCTTCGCTTCGACGTGGGCCACTACCTACCACTGTTGACTGGGGACTCCGAGGACGGTGCCAAAATGGCAAGCCGTGATTGGTCGCAAGCGCCTGACTGGCTAGACTGGAATGCCATTGCGCTTTGAGGCAAACCACCGAGTCTTTTCCTGATGTCATCCTAGCCTTTCCAAGGGAACGTGCTTGCTCATCTTGGCGCTTTGCCACAAATTCCATGTCCAACGGAAAGCATTCCACGCCTTTGGCGACTGATTTGGCCCTGCAACTTGGGCCAATCGGACTCTCAAGCCCCCCACTCTCTCCCATGCTTCCAGGTGTGGCCACAGTCCAATCTGCCGCGCCAGCCAATTGGCTGCACCTGAGCGCAGGGTGACGCTGTTTCATACCACCTGCTTCCTGGTACTTACCAATTTAGGCAGAACCCCGCAAAACTTCACTGGCAGGCCAAAACCCGGCCTCCTGTCTTTCCCGAAAGTTTCTCCGGTCGTCTTTGCGAAGCATCCGCATGGGCGAACAAGGAAAGAAGAATAAGCCGGAAGCATTTGCCTTCAAGATGGCCGGCCGGAGAGTGGCGGTCAGAGGAGCGCAGCTGAGAGACTCTCTGCAAAGAGTCCAACTCGCAGGCGCGTGGCCGACCTGGAGTCTCCATGACCCGAAATAAAAATGGTGTCATGACCCCGTTTTTTGGGGTAATGACCCCATTTGTATTTCGGGTGATGCAGACTCCAGGTAGAGACAATCACGTAATCCAGGACATCCTGGTGCCCTGGAAGGAATGCCAGGGCCGCTTGGACACTGAACAAGAATTCGTTCTGTCACGACTATTCCCGCGCCGAGATTAAGCCCAAGACGCACACTTCTGACCAAAGAAGGCTCGATGATTCCCACCCTAAACCCCAAGATTCCTTTCACCAAGTGGCCAATACTGCCAACAGCTACTTTAAAAGTCTCTGTTTTAGTCTACTCGCCCATTCCCCAGACCAACCCATTTCGGGCCCCGATCCCCTGATCAGTTGAGGCCCACCATGTAGAGATACATGTTCCATGACGCAGCTTGGAGCGATATATTTCAAGCAATCCGAGGAGCATGACGAGGTGAAGTTGGTTCTGGTCACGGTCAACTCGAAAAAAATGCCGCAGAGTTCCACTTTTTGACTATCCGAAAAGGTTTGCCTTTGGACAAGGGTTTCCCTTGAAACCCTTAACAACCCCCCCCCCCTCCCCAGGTTTTTTTGGGAGGTCGTCAAAAAGTGGAATATGTGGCCCTTTGAGTTGGCGGTGACCAGAACAATCTTCGGCAAGATCGACCCAAAGACGTCACCGGGCGCGCCACGCAGCGCCAGCGCGGCGCGCGCCTCGCTGCCCGGCGCTGAGCTCCTGCAGCTGCGTGGTGTGTGGCTGGGATCGCCCTGGTCTGGTGGCTTTAAACTTGGCTGGAACTAGGACCCCAGCATGTTTTTTTTTGCCTTAAAAAACAATGGGGACCCCAAAAAAGCGAAAAAATTATAAAAGGGGAACTAATTCTGGGGAAGTAAAGGAAAACCAAACAGAAAACCCGGCGTTCACAACACAAGACTCGAAAGGTTCAACGTTCGAAACTTGGAGAAGAAGAAATGGCTTCGGTGGGGTCCGAATACTGAAAACAAGACACACCCTTGGTTTGGTTCATCGGCGACTCTCTTGGTTTGGAGTGGTGGCTAAAACCCAGAGTTCACAACGCAAGACTCGGATGCTTCAACGTTCGAAACTTGGAGAAGGAGAAGAAATGGCTTCGGTGAAGTCCGAAAACTGAAAACAAGACACAGCCTTGGTTTGGTTCATCGCTGGCTTGGAGGTTGGTGGCGACAGGCCAAGCAACTTGAACGCAGGTCCAATCTTCATGTCATGATTCACCTGCACGTGTTGGCTGATGAAATAGGCAAATGCTCTGTACTGGTAACTTGTCACTTGCAAAGCCGAAGCTGCACTCATTGTTTCAGTACTTTCGAACCGACCTTGTTGCTAAAAATGGTGTGAATCCATGTCAAACGTGAAGGATTGCAAGTTGACACACTCAGCAAGTTCCAACCGATTGCGTAGGTCAGACAAGTATTGCCCGCGATTGAAACACAACTACCATTTCGGAATGACGGAGAAACAAGTACTGAATGAGTTGAGAAATTGGTTAGCTGGACACCACATTCTTCCAAAGGCAAGTCGGTCTGGGATTCTGTTGGTTGTGACCCTTGACACTCCTAGAGAGCAAACAAGTGCATGAATGACAATCAAGTAATGGCTCATCCAAATCCCGGACCATCCCTTTGGGAAGTGAACAAGACAATCTATGTGCTCCTCGCTTGGGATAGCGACTGCTCCCACTAAATCCAATGTATGCCCCTGCTGCCCTGACATTTTGCCTGCGCAGGAGACTTTGACAGGCACCCCGCTCTACGCTTACATGAGCGCTTACCATGGCTGCACAACAGTGCTGTATTCTGGCCATCGATATGTCAGAGTGACTGACTCGCAAAGCCAATATGAGGAGCGACCTACAGGCCGTCAGCTATGGCGATCCAAGGCAAAAGAATCAATCCAGGAAGCAACATGAACTTGCACAGCCAATAGAATTTCCCAAAACTGGATCCGGCGCTACTGCTGGATCGCTCAAAACCATCCGCTATTGGAAGACCAAATGAAAACAAAAGCTGGGATTGAGCTGCACTGCAAAAGTAGTTCTCTTGGCGGACCACAACCCCGCATCATATGTTCCAAGGCATTCCCATCGTCGGGCAAAGCTTTACATATGCAGTGTCCTGGCCAAAGTCCTTCAATGCTGCAAAGCACCCATTTTCTCGCAGAGGAAAAACGTTGACGCCTCTTTGGTACAGTACTCGACATGTGAAATGAGACAGCGGAGGCTCACCAACTAGCCTTTTGGAAGCAGCACTATTCCAACACTTCAAAAGCTGAATTGCTCCTTGGCCAGTCCTTTCACCATTTTCTGATCGCATCCCAACAAGGGTGTGAGAGACCCAAACGTATGGAGGTGTTCCCTTCTCGCTGCTCGGGAACGTGCGTAGCTCACATGAGCCCAAAACCAAGAGATCCCCTCACAGTCCTCACTTTCGTAAGTGAGGGAACTTGGGAATGAACCCAGGGGTCCGTCATTCCAACTCATTCCCTACATACTGTGGATGGACAAAATCCATTTCGCACCAGTTTGAAAGCATGGTAAAGCATGGTTTGTTGGTATTTACAGGGGAACCATCATTCCGGGGATTCTGAACGGTGGTGCAGGATTTCGGCCATCCAAAAAAAACACCAGCAAGAAAACACAATCTCAGGGCGCGGCTAGGGGTTGACGTTCCTGAGATGGCAAGCAGGTCTTTGAGGCTCTTTGAGCATGTTTCATGCGGATTTCCCGCGCCTCGACATCACCGTGTGGGGCGGGTAGGGGGGGGGGGGGGGGGCAGGGTTTTCAACCTCGATCTGAGGCCGAAAAATCCATGAGAAATTGACGAGTTAAAATTGAATTTTGGAGTCGTTCGGTCAACATGTTCCGCGGATGACTGTGAAATAGCAGTATTCTAGTGAAAAGTTCTCCATACTCCACCGCTGTCGTACTTTCAGCCCATTATTGACAACCTTTGTTTACGAAATTCACAGGCGACGTGAATCTACAAGCACGGAACATGTCGGCTATGCTGGTACACCCGATCTCGGCCACCCGTCCGGCGCTTTGACGGATACCCCAACCCTAATTGCCTCCCCCACCCCCCCCCCGCCCCCGCCAAACTCCTACGCTCGCACCAGCTCCATGCTCCCCATACTCCGAAAAACGAGTGTTCCTTGTTGTTCACTCTTCTCCGTAGTTCCGCCAGTTTTCGCGTTTATTCGTCGGAGCCCAGTCATGCACCTTGTATGCGCTGCAGTACGATGGCACGCTGGTGCGCTGCAGTCCCATCGTGGGAAGGGCACGCGCTGCAGTCTGACCGCGCGCCAAGTATGACGCTTCCGCTCGGCTGTGTATCCAAGACGATCCTGTGTCGCATGCGCAGTGTGCACGGAAGTGTGTGAGTGGGCGGACTGCATGTGACTAAAATTGCTGGTTTGTGCGGGTGCAGCATTGCGGCATCGGCTTCGAGCTAAAGCACATTCAAGAGGCAAAAGCGATCAAGGATGTCAACTACCCGGCCAAACATGTCGTGCTTTCAGCCCGTGTCGTGCTTTCAGCCCACATCAGAACTCTAGAGTACTATGCAAAACCCGTATTCGCGTACTTTCTCAGGATGGGGCACACAGCTGCAGACATATGATTCATGTATCTCCCGGATTGAGGGTTGATCATCAGGCCTTGGAAGTTGGGGGATCCTTCCGGGGCCATGTTGAGGCATGCACAAATGCTATATGGACCGTATGCCTTTCTAGTCTTCTCGTTTCAATTTTCGGAGAGTGCCACAAACAACCTTCACATCTCAAACCAAGCAGTACCCTACAAACCACAGTATTCGATTCCAAACTCATCCAACGTATGAACAACCAAACACTCACAACCAAACAAACGAAGCACTTGGATGTTCAAGCGACTTCCAAAGAATGTCCACCAGTATGATGAAAACCACCCTTGTAATCTTCCCCTTAACCTGAAGCTTCCCCTGAACACTGGGTTGCTGTTGACCCCCCTGCAAAAAGTTTAACTTCTTGGGGGTTTAGCGGAAAACCCCTTGATTTCAACCAAAAAGTTAGTCTAAAGATCCAGCCCAACAGTCAAGAACATCCCATACCCTTCATACCGAAAACGCCGCGCAAAAATGTCCTTTCGCCGGAGGCTCTGCAGGTCAGCACAGCTCTCCTTCACGCGGCTCACCATGGTCATCTCACACCTGCAGGTGTCCGGTGTCCGCTTAGCGGAGATCAGAACCCGCGCGCACGCGAGTCATGACCACCCGGCATAAAAAATCTAGGTACCCTTCTTTTTCTGTAGTCTATTTTAGTAGGGGAGCCCTCCCCCAAAAAAGGGTAACAGGACACTACTGGGGGACCTAGAAATGGTCTACCCAGAACCATGCTTCAAGGACTTAGAAAGCGGATGTCCGCAGCTATTTATGGCAAGGGGATTGTGCCTTGCTACCCTTCATCTACCAGGGTTTTGATTGTGGCTCAAGTGAGCAGAGCCCCAAGCGGAATGGCGGGAGAACATGGAGAGCACATGGACGACTTGCTGGTGCTTGCTCAGCAGGGAATGAGAAATGGGATGACCCTCACCATCCCACTGGTGGTTTCCTTTCATGGGACCCTGGGTTCATTCCGCAGAAGCGAACAAAAGCGGGTTGAACTGTTGAAGATTGAACAAATGGCTATGGGTCAAAAAATCGTACCCCCAGTGAACATCCCAATCCAACCACTAAAATAGGTTCTAAAATGGGTGGTGAATTCACCTACCCCAAAATGGGATCCCCTTGGTTTTGACCCACGGCCAAATCAGGACATGGGCGTCCAGTTGTCGTGAGGGGTAACAAAGGCTACTTGAAATTGGCTGAGTCTGTGGCTGCCAGCTTCTACAAAACGCTTTCGCGATTCAGCGTTCCATTGAACCAACTTTACCGTAGCAACCGGCGAACCGCTGAAAGATGAAGACCTTCTCGTATTCCAAAAGACGCAGCGGTCAACAAGGACACAACAACGCTGGAAATGTTGCAGAATGCTCCGTGCTTGGACCTGGACAGAAACTGTGCCTGCTCGGTTGACAAAGCAGACTCGTGAGAATACCGCTGAGCACAGCAGGTGAGATCCCAAAGCGAATGCCTTGTCTGCTAGTTCTGAGCAGCCCGTGGTTTGTTTCCAAGATGTCAGAAGTAAGACAATCTGTAGCTCAACACCAGCGAGTGCCAAAGTCCCCAAATCTGGCCCAAATCATAGCGAATCAGCAGACAAGTCAAACAGCAAACCACCCGGCAGAACACCGAAAGACATGACTTGTGTACAACTCGTAAGACACTGGCCAACAAACGGAAACAAAAGGCGGACACCGGATGCAACATGTCTCTGTCAAATGTCCTCCATGTCACACCGTCGTACACATGTTGTGATTTGCGGACGCAGTTTGGGGATTGAGAACTCAATCGTTCGCCTGGAAATGTGTGGTGCTTCACATGTAGAACATGGATATGTTAGCGTTGGTGCGATTGTCTGCTCTAGAATCGGGTAGGATGACCTCAGACATGTTTGAAAAAGTGAGGCTATCAAAATGGGAGGCAAAAGGTCAACTGCTTCACGCTGGGATTCGCAGGCACTGTGAAGACTTGCGCAGCTGGAGACCCCGGCTCGCGGATCCACTTTCGGGGATCGTAGAAGCTCTTGTTGGGCTTGTCCTTCAGGTCGGCTCGATCAGCTGTTCGTTTCCCTTCATGCCTCTTGAGCAAGTGAGTTGCAAACCGTATCCCATCTGGGTTGAGCTTGAATACACTACTCACAAGGGATTCCTCATGAACGCACCTGAGCCGTGATCAAAACCTAAAACGGTCTACCCAGAGCCACGTAAGGAATTCAAAAGGCAGATGCGCCCACTTACCCTTACCCTTCATCTACCCGAGTGGCTTTTTTTCAGCACGTGGCTCACATCTGGCTGTAGGTCAAAACCAATGGGATCCCATTTTGGGGTAGGTGAATTCACCACCCATTTAGAACATATTTCAGTGGTTGGATTGGGATGTTTACTGGGGCTACGATATTTTTTGATCCATGGCTATCTGGTTCTGCACATTCCTAGGTCCGGTCCTCACCCTCTGGGTTGCCGATCTGCCCCTGCAAGTAGCCCTCCTTGGCCTCGCAGTCTTTGGGGAATCGAGCAGGGCTGTGGGAACTGGAATCCACTTCTGCGCAACAAAAAGGGCCGCACCCCAAAGAGTTTCAACCCCCCATAAAAAGGAGATTCCCAAAAGTATCACAGAAATGGTTGGAGAAATCCCGAGTGATCCCACAACCCCTGATGGTGAGGGCATGTCAGTCACTGCCATTCAATGGTTAGCACTTATTTCGGTGTGATCAGTCTTTGACATGTGAGGGTGCAGTCATCCCACTCAAAGCCGCCATGGGCGTGTAAAGCACTGGAATCCTGCCGACGCGAGCCTACGCCTACGCGGAGTGTCTAAGCAGGCCTTTCTCGGGCGCTTTCAAGCTTGCGTAGGGCAACATATGCCTGCGCGAACCTGCCTACGCAGGAACTTCTTGAACAGCCTACGCGGACCACAAGGATTGCCTCTGCCGTGCGGCCGGAGAAAGAGAGTTCCCTTTGCATTCTAAGCGAGTAGCAAGAAGAAACTCTGCCAGACTTTGGGGCAAGCTCCGCAGATGTCCTGTCAAACATTCCTTTGGGCACGGTCCGCATGCAGCCACCAGCTTTCACCTTCGCTTTTGTCTATGTGATTGGACCTGAGCAGCGAGCGACGTCTTTGGCGAAGGCGTGCCTTGTAAAACTTCAAGAGCCCTTCCCAGTAAGCCCACTGAGTGTCGGTGTCCACATTCATCTTCACCACCTGTGCACACACATGGCTGTGGCTCAAAAAACCGGTACCAAAATGGAACCCTGGTAAGTGGAAACATGGACCAAAACCTGCGTAAGCCCCTGTTTAATTTTGACTCATACCCACATACACCCGGCGAATGTTTTTGATTTGCGCGGGAGAGTTGCAGAACAGGATGGCACTATGAGGTAGCCACGCCAGCGCCAAGCGCCGTAGTGATGTGATGCTTCTCAGAGCCGGAGCCGCCATGGAAGACCTGAAGGCACGCAAATGGTGAGCCGAACACGTCCCTGCCCAACAAAGGATACCCTCCTTGTCAGCATGAAGCTCGTGATCGTTTGCACAGGCACCTTTTGCCCCATAGCCGCGGGTAGCTGAATGACCAGCACATGTCTCATGTTTCCTGAAGCCAGTTCTCTGGACGATTTGATCAGCGAGCCCAATGTCTCTGCGTGTTCCAAATGTCAACTGGAAGCTCGGCTTCAATCCAAAGAGCGCAGTGCATGTCGGTTGGAGCTGTTCATATCACTACCGGTTGCTGGTTGTTGCTCGGCTCCCAGCTTTGTGGCCACTCGAACAAATAAAAAATATGATTGGTTTCGCGGCATTCACTTCTGGGCTGCCCTCCCCTGCTAAAGGTTTAACTTTTAGTGGGTCCAATGGAAACTACCACGAAACCCTACCTAAAAAGCCAAGCGGATGGTTGAGAGCCACCAAGACTATATTCTCCAAAGAGGGCCATGGCTCCAAAAAGAGTACCCGAAATGGCACCTTGTGGAACCAAAGACAACCTGCGGTTTGCCCCAGCTGCTTAAATTTCGAGCCACGCCCAAACCCCAACCTCTGAACCAACTAACAAGAGCGTAAAGTTCCTAAGTGGCAGTGGCTCAAAAACCGGTGCCCAAAATGGGTCCTCGGTAAATGGGCACGAAGACCAAAACCTGCGGTTTGCCCTAGCTCTTAAATTTTGAGCTACATCCATGTTGAACCAACCGCCAAGAAACTGAACTCCCCCGTGACCATAGGTGTCCTTTTAGGGGAAATAGATGGATTTCCCTGGTAGATGATTAAACCAGTTAAGCCACGAATCGCCATCTATTTCTTCTAGCAAAACAACCAAAAAGGACACCTATGGATTCAGTTCTAGGGGTTGACTCCCCATGGGGATTTCTTGGTCGTTGGAAGGGGAGCACCTATGCCCAAAAAGCTCTCCGTCTCGGGCGCCGGCGAAGTTCAGCGGCCGCGCCACCTCCTGGCCCTGCGCCTGGCGAGTCCCAACTCGACCTCGTCGGTGACTCTTGAGGTGCACCTTTTCTAAGGGAACCCCAAAAGCCGACGCCAAAGGCAAAAACAAAAACGAAAGGAACGCCAAAAGGAAAGGAGAACCATTTCGGGGGGGGGGGGGCACCAAAGGCAAAAACAAAAATGAAAGGAAAGCCAAAAGGAAAGGAAACCATTTCGGGGGGGGAGGGGGGCGACGCCAAAGGCAAAAACAGAAATGAAAGGATTGCCAAAAGGAAAGGAGAACCATTTCGGGGGGGGGAGGGGGGCGACGCCAAAGGCAAAAACAGAAATGAAAGGATTGCCAAAAGGAAAGGAGAACCATTTCGGGGGGGGGAGGGGGGCGACGCCAAAAGAAAACAAAATTGAAAGGAAAGCCAAAAGGAAAGGAGAACCATTTCGAGGGGGGGGAGGGGGGCGACGCCAAAGGCAAAAACAAAATTGAAAGGAAAGCCAAAAGGAAACGAGAACCATTTCGGGGGAGGGGGGGGGGGACGCCAAAGGCAAAAACAAAATTGAAAGGAAAGCCAAAAGGAAAGGAGAACCATTTCGAGGGGGAGGGGGGCGACGCCAAAGGCAAAAACAAAATTGAAAGGAAAGCCAAAAGGAAAGGAGAACCAATTCGGGGAAGGGGGGGGCGACGCCAAAGGCAAAAACAAAATTAAGAAGGAAAGCCAAAAGGAAAGGAGAACCATTTCGAGGGGGGGGAGCGGGGCGACGCCAAAGGCAAAAACAAAATTGAAAGGAAAGCCAAAAGGAAAGGAGAACCATTTCGACGCCAAAGGCAAAAACAAAATTAAGAGGAAAGCCAAAAGGAAAGGAGAACCATTTCGAGGGGGGGGGGGGGGACGCCAAAGGCAAAAACAAAATTGAAAGGAAAGCCAAAAGGAAAGGAGAACCATTTCGAGGGGGGGGAGGGGGGCGACGCCAAAGGCAAAAACAAAATTAAGAAGGAAAGCCAAAAGGAAAGGAGAACCATTTCGAGGGGGGGGAGGGGGGCGACGCCAAAGGCAAAAACCAAAATTAAAAGGAAAGCCAAAAGGAAAGCAGAACCATTTCGAGGGGGGGGAGGGGGGCGACGCCAAAGGCAAAAACAAAATTGAAAGGAAAGCCAAAAGGAAAGGAGAACCATTTCGAGGGGGGGGAGGGGGGCGACGCCAAAGGGAAAAACAGAAATAAAAGGAAAGCCAAAAGGAAAGGAGAACCATTTCGAGGGGGGGGAGGGGGGCGACGCCAAAGGCAAAAACAGAAATGAAAGGATTGCCAAAAGGAAAGGAGAACCATTTCGGGGGGGGGGGGACGCCAAAGGCAAAAACAAAAATGAAAGGAAAGCCAAAAGGAAAGAAGAACCATTTCGGGGGGGGGGGGGACGCCAAAGGCAAAAACAAAAATGAAAGGAAAGCCAAAAGGAAAGAAGAACCATTTTGGGGGGGGGGGGGACGCCAAAGGCAAAAACAAAAATGAAAGGAAAGCCAAAAGGAAAGGAGAACCATTTCGGGGGGGGGGGACGCCAAAGGCAAAAACAAAAATGAAAGGAAAGCCAAAAGGAAAGAAGAACCATTTCGGGGGGGGGGGGGACGCCAAAGGCGAAAACAAAAATGAAAGGAAAGCCAAAAGGAAAGCCAAAAGGAAAGGAGAACGATTTCGAGGGGGGGGTGGGGGGACGCCAAAGGCAAAAACAAAAAAGAAAGGAAAGCCAAAAGGAAAGGAGAACCATTTCGGGGGGGGGGGACGCCAAAGGCGAAAACAAAAATGAAAGGAAAGACAAAAGGAAAGCCAAAAGGAAAGGAGAACCATTTCGAGGGGGGGGGGGCGACGCCAAAGGCAAAAACAACATGAAACGAAAGCCAACAACTATTTTCGGAAGGAGCGACGCCAAAGGCAAAAACAAAAATGAAAGGAAAGCCAAAAGGAAAGGATAACCATTTCGGGGGGGGGGGGGGCCGACGCCAAAGGCAAAAACAAAAAGGAAAGGAAGCCCAAAGGAAAGCCAAAAGGAAAGGATAACTATTTCCGGGGGGCGACGCCAAAGGCAAAAACAAAAATGAAAGGAAAGCCAAAAGGAAAGCCAAAAGGAAAGCCAAAAGGAAAGGAGAACCATTTCGGGGGGGGGCGACGCCAAAGGCAAAAACAAAAATGAAAGGAAAGCGAAAGGAAAGCCAAAAGGAAAGCCAAAAGGAAAGCCAAAAGGAAAGCCAAAAGGAAAGGAGAACCATTTCGGGGGGGCGAAGCCAAAGGCAAAAACAAAAATGAAAGCAAAGCCAAAAGGAAAGCCAAAAGGAAAGGAGAACCATTTCGGGGGGGGGGGGGACGCCAAAGGCAAAAACAAAAATGAAAGGAAAGCCAAAAGGAAAGCCAAAAGGAAAGGAGAACCATTTCGGGGGGGCGACGCCAACGGCAAAAACAAAAATGAAAGCAAAGCCAAAAGGACAAAAAAACACAAACAAAGAGAGACATTTCGGGTTTTGGGTTCGAAGACTCGAGAAAAAGAAAAAAAACATCACAAGACACATCCAGGTCTCAGTGCAACCCTATCAAGGCATTCAAGGTCTCTACCCCAAGTGGGGGTTGATCAAAATTCCCATCAGCCCCGGTTTTGACCATCAAGAATCCTTTTTCCCACGTGGAAAAACCTCAAATGTTTTTCTCGTGGTTTCCTCTGGCCATCCCATGTTCATCCGACCTTTTGATCAACCCCCACATACCCCCCCCTTTGAGGTTGGCTTTCGGGAAACCTCAAAAGGAAACCGCAAGAACTTGAGGGCTTCCCTATGGACCCAGAAATGGACTCCCAGATGGAAATTCTCAAATAGACTCCCAATAAATCTCCCCATGGCCCCTATTTCAAGGCAGACCCAACTAGATCCTGCAAAGCATCCATCCTAGGGTTTCCTTACGGGAATCCTCAGGTTCATTCCATTTCTCATCTGGGTACGGGTTTAAACCACCAGGGGACCGCAGGTTTTAGTTCCTTTTACCAGGGCAACCCATTTTGGGTACCTATTTTTGACCCACAGCCGTCTATCGCTCCGATCGCAAGTTTAAGACACACCCAACCCTTCGGCCCTCCCCGGGTGGCCTTGAGCTTCTCGCTGGCCTCGGCCGGACAGAAGCTATGGGGCACTCCCACGGGCTAGGTGTCGTGATGCTCCCGCTGAAACATGGCCCGAAAAGGCGTAACCTCGCTCCCCCCCCCCAAAAAGAAAAAAAAAGAAAAGTAAAACCATAACTATAATGATACTGATAATGAACATAATAATAATGGCAATGGATGATGATGATAATGATAAGAATAATAAGAAATAACATAAGTAGCCCTTGCTGAAATGGCCATGGGGATCCATGCCTGGATTTCATATTTGGCAGTTCCTGTGAAAAGCTCCCAAATGATCAGAACCTTTTCTGGCGACGTGCCGTGTGGGCAGTTGAAAGCACAAACCAGGCCGTACCTGGTGCCGGAAAATGCTCAACATCACAGCTGTGTCGTAGTGGCAGATGTGACCCAAGCAGTCAACCCGCATATTCGCCGAATCCGAGTACTCAGAGAGCGCATCTCTTGGAACTCGATCTTTTAGGGGTTGATCAAAAGGTCCTTTACATGGGATGACCATAGGGAAAACAACAAAAAACGATGATCAATGTCCCACTACACGGGGACAGCTTCTCATGATCATCTGGGGAAGAGTGATCAACTTCCCAGTGAGCGACTCTCTTGGAACCCGATCCTTCCGCCACACTTCCGAGCTCCGCGCGTACTTTTGCATGTCCATCAAGAGCTCCGGCTTCAGGACGACGTTGCCTGCCTCGCGCCCGCTGATTCCTCCACTCAAAGAGGGGCCTTTCTTTAGGACTCGGACCCAAAAGCTGGCGCATCGATGTTCAACTTTGGGCTGCCCTTCACAAACCACCAAATAAGGGAGCCCAAAAGAGACGCACTCTTGAACCATTTGGATGTTGACATCTCAGAGTGACAAGTTGGATGTTGGCATCCAATGGGATTGAATTCAGTTCAAGGATGTCTGTGGCTTGCCAAGTGCCTATGGATGGTTATGCATGGCTATGGATGCTTATGGCAGGCTATGGATGGCAATGGATGGCTATGGCCCTTGTTCCAAGTGCCCAAATCATGGAACTACAATCAGCTCACGGAAGCTGCGCTCGGAAGACGGTCTCAGCTGCCGACCTTGTACACACCGTGCACGTTGCCAAAGGCAGCGGCAATGGTGAAATGGGGTGAAATCGGAGCAAGCCCCGCGTACACCGCCCAAACGTCCTGACGGACGTCGTGAAGCGCGGAGTCGGGGGAAACACTTGGGGCTCAGTAGGGAATGACCGAGTCCGGGTATTGGGAATGAACCGGAAGGGGTCCCCCTTAGATGAAACCATAGTGGAAGGTTTATAGGGCTAATTTCCTCATTCCCTGCTAAGCACCAGCAAGAAAAAGCGTGCAGCCAACAGGAGCTAGCAGACACTCTCAAAGCTTCACACATGGGTGTGGGTCAAGAATAGGTACCCAAAATGGAACCCTTGTAAGAGGAAACATGGACTAAAAACTGCTTCCAATTCCTGGTGGTTTCATTTTGACCCACAGCCACATCAGCCCCTACAACTCGAGGGTCATGAAGCATGGGGCATGGCCTCAGGGGTGGAGTACAGCTTATCCTTTGCTGCGCCCGAGTTGTCCACCTGAGGCACATCTCATTGGGTCGATGCGGTCACGGAAGCGTGGCAGCCGCTCAGAGCGTGACGTACTGTGTCGAAGGAACATGCAAAGGAGAGGGGCCATCATATGGCTGTGGGTCAAAAATATGTGCTCCAAATGGCTTGCCCTGGTAAATGGGGACAAAAACTAAAACCAGCGGTCCGATTCCTGGTGGTTTAATTTGACCCACACCCATGTAGTACCTCTGTTCTTTTTGCGTCTCCCAGTGGGTGCTATCCTCTTGGCAACTGCAATTGCGTCCGCTTCATGTTGCAGCTTGTTCTGAGGAAACACCGGACCGAAAAACTAAATGGGTGTGGGTCAAAATTAACCCACCAGGGGACTGCAGATTCTAGTCCATATTTCCACTTATATACCAGGGTTCCATTGTGGGTACCTATTTGTGACCCACACCCAAATGGGTGTGGCTCAAAATTAAACAGGGGGGGTGACGCAGGTTGTGGTCCATGTTTCCACTGACCAGGGTTCCATTTTGGTACCGTTTTTTTAGCCACAGCAAATGTTGCTTGAAGACTTGGAGAAGTAAACCCAAACTGTGAAGACTCCTTTCTGCCATGGACGCGCCTACAGAGCCCCATTGCAAGCTGAATACAAGCAAGCGAGCTTGCAAGTTCTGACTCTTCAGAGGAGCGGTGCTGATTCGCTAAGCCGCTCAGCGCCTTTTTTGGCCTAGAATGCTGCTCCCTCCGTGAGTGACCTGTTCACCCCATCCCAAATGCCCCAAATGCCCTGGCCCAAATTCAAGTCCCATTCACTGCGAGGCCAGCACCCCATCTTCGATGCCGCCGGTGATACCGATCTCCATCTCCAGGATCTGCTTCATCGGGGCCATGCGCGTGAGGTACTTCTTGCAAATCCTTTGCCGGGTGCCGCCAAACCGGAGCTGAAACGGGCTGCTGCATAGGGCAGTCCCCAAGTGTCCTCTGGGTGTCCCTTTACCGCCCAAAAACGGCACCTCCCCAAAAAAAAGGCCACCCCCAAATGCTCGTGCGGGCATTTGGGAAGCCACTGAAGGGTACTGGGGGGGCAACCTGGCTGCGGCAACCCGCCCGCCCTTCCGATTTGAGTGGCTCGATGTTCTCCTCATCCGGCTCCTCGGACAGGTCCAACCTCAGGATCAAACCGCCCCGTCCAATCGACTGCCACCGGCAAACCGATCGGATGCGGGCTGAGTTTGGGCGAACGAGACCGAACAATTCTTCCAGCTCCAGGTCATGGGACAAGTTCGGGACGACAAACCAAACGCATTCATTCGCGGAAGATGGCAAGTCGCCGTTCCAGTTGATGGGTCTCGTTTCTGAATAAGCCAAACCGATGTGCTTCTAGAAGTATACGCCTGATTTGAGACATTCCGAAGCCATGCTGCAGTCATGTATTCAGCATTCGCGCCTAAGCCTCAAGTGTCCAGGTCCAGGATAATTGTGGGTGGTGCTCATCGACAGCTCTGAAGCAGCAGGGTAGCCAATCCGCACCCATGGTGCCATCCACCGCCCACACGCAAAAAAAAAAAAACGGCGCTTTTGCGCCATCTCCTGCGGAGATGGCTCTTTTGAAACGGGTGGTGAAAACCGCCCGAGCTTCCGAAGAAAGAAAAAATCGGGCGCCCACATGTGCGAGGAGAAGAGAGGCTCGCCGTGCTGCTTGAAGTAAGCCTCATCTGCCTGGCGGAAGCGGCTCCAAGGAGGCGTGGCGTTGGTCATTGGGTTGCTCTTATATGGGGCAAGCACATAAAATGCCCTGCAACATGCTTGAATCGCCCATCTAGAAACCCAGTGAAGCCCAGTGGCCCTGTGCATCTGCTTGCCGAAGTGTCTACTAGAACCCCATCAAGCAAGGGTGTTTGGAGGGTCCCAAAACCAACGCGCGGCTTTGATCATCGCTTCCATTTTTGAGAAAGACCCACCCCTCGACATGGGCACCACCAAATGAGTCTGTCTTCTTTTGAGCGTATGACATATAGGTCTGTCTGTTTTTGAGGCTCGGTACCCCCTTTTTGGTTGGTTTCAAAGGGGAACCAAGAGGAAAACCCTCATTTCGGAGGGTCCAACAACTGAAAACAAACACGGACGCCCAAATTCAATTGGAGCCCCAAAAACCGCGCCTCCAGCATGCCGTCGAACCACGGCAGCAGCTTCTTGGCCTGCGAGTGTTTGCGGGTTTTGTCGCTGTTTCCGGGCGGAAACCCGGCCAAACCAGGAATTCAAAGGACCTCAGGGGGTTGCTTTCTCAGGAATCTAGCTTTTGAAACATCCGCAAGCTAGGTTCACCCACAAACTTTGCAGTGCTTCGTTTGGTGCAACACTTCTGTGGGAGCTAGATTCTCGATGAACTCGAAGGCTCTTACGCTTAAGTCAAGTTACCCGGTAGGATTTGTGCGGGTCATGGGCCCCGCAAAACTCTGGGACTTCCACAGGGGACCCCCCAATGGCTGGTGGTGTCCCTGTCAAACCAAAAACGGACAAGGGGTTCCCCCGAAAACGACACGCCCAAAAATCAGCATCCAAAGACACCTGGAGCGTAAAACTGATCCTTCGTGGCTTTGACCCAAAAGACAACCCCGGGCAAAAAAACAAGCGCGCCACGGGGCTCGCCAGAGCCCATGGCGCCGCATCACAAGTCTGACCCTCGAGACGCTTTTTGACGGCGCGAGCTCCAAGGCTGAAGCGCAGTGGTCGGAATGCACGAGCCTGAGATGTGACAGGGATCCGTACATTATACATTTGAACATTGCCTTGTAAATGGTGGTTTCCCATGTTTCAAATGGGCAAAATGTATCTTTTAAGGAGCCCCGTGTGAACACTGGCGTTTCGGCCAGTAAGGCACTGGTCTATGGTCTATGAGTCATGGTTCCCTTTGTAGGTGTCATTATAACAGTGGTTCTTAAGGATCCCTACTACCAGGTAGAAAAACCGTCCCTGTTCACCCCAAGTAAAGGCGTCTTTTGACCATGGCAGGCATGTTGGCACTCCTATAGAGGGGCCTTACTAGCTCCTCAAACTGTTCAAGCCCGCACAGGCATGCGGAACAGCACAGCAGCTTGGAAAAACAAACACCCTCTTCCCATTGCAATTGGGAGACAAATGGCTGTGGGTCAAGACCAATGGGATCCCAGTTTGGTCGGTGGGTGAATTCGCCACCCATTTTAGGCTTCCTATTTTAGTGGGATTGGGTCCCGTTCACTGGGGGCTAACCGGGCTATGGATTTTGACCCCTCAGGAAGACCACTTCCGCGCCAGCCCAAGACACGGCTGGGAGAACAAGTTAGCGAAGGGCTCCACGGGCATCGTTTCCCGCCAAAAACACGCCGACCTTTCAATCAACGCAGTCCATCACAACTACAGGGAAAGCCGTTTGGGGGAAATCCGGAAAACAAAACCGTTTCTCCATCTCTGCTTGGAGGTCAACCTCTGGTGAGAGCAGTTTTGGCTCAATTTGCCGAGGTCCCCGCACAGGGATGCCGTAGGCAGGAGCGACTGCCCGGGCCTTGCACACGAATTTCGCATTTTCAGAGGCTGTGCTCATGCCAGACCGGCAACATATGGCGATGGATGGGAACCACCTCAAAAGTGGCTGGTGGACATGAATCCCCGCCTAAATGATGTCCACCCACAGGGTTCCTCATTACAATTCATACCCATATCAGCCGTCAGGCAAATTAGCAAAAAATATTGACTTGGCATATTCAAGTCCGGAGCCACCGTCTGTGAACAGCACTACGACAAATGGTTAGGGGAGCCCAAAAACGGGTTTTATGATGTCCTTTTGGTGTCCCCCCCACTCCAGAAGGAGTGGTTTCTTCAAACAAGACAACACCGAGATGAAGTTTGGATAGACCAAAGGCCCCACTTCCTCTGTCCACCTGTCGGATCTGCATCTGCTCTGTGCCCCCAGGAACCCACTGCCTTCAACGTGGTGTGGAGCAAAAGGTGGCTTCGTAGGGGTGGGTCCCACCACATGCATCCCACAAGAACCCCAGAGCCGCTGTGGCATCACGAAAGGAATAGGTCCAAGCGGGTGATACAATGGGCACTGCGGTGACTGCCAGGCATCAATAGTACTGGATGATCGCCCAAGCCCAACGCAAGCATTGCACAAGTGCTTTTTCCGGAGCCAGGCTACTTCTGGACCACAAAATCATCTTGTCAAAAGGACACTGTTCTCAAGCCGAACACGTTGCCGGAGCAACACGCAACTTGTTGGGTGTGAGTCAAAGTTAAACCACCAAGCCCCGCAGGTCCGAGTCGATGTTTCCATTTACCGATCGGGCAACCCATTTTCAGGACCTATTCTTTGACCCACGCCCATATTCAGCTAGAAGAGGACCTATGTTTGACCCACACCCATATTCAGCCTCAGGAAACAAAAAAAAACACCAAACAAAAACAAACGTGAAAAGAGGCAGGGGCCATGGGTCCGCCAGAAGCCGAACTTGGGGCGCAGGCGAAGTGGGCGCCCGCCACGGCCCCCAGGATCGACGCCTTTCCGAGCGAGCTATGGAAAGGGGAGCGGCTCCCATCAGGAAATATGGGTATGGAATCCAACCAAGGGTCATCCCATGTAAAGGACCATGGACTTTACTAATTCAACCCCCTTCAAAGTGGTTGGTGGACATGGATCCTCTAAATTGGTCTGAATCTTAATTAGGGACCCGAAATGGTGGGCAGAATTCGGAAGGGATGTTTGTTCGCCGACCACTTTTCATGGGGTTCCCTATTAACAATTGTCATAATGTCAAGAATGGTCAAGCTGGTGGCGGAGGATCTCAATAATCCTATTCCAGTATAAGTTTAAGAATGATCTCCATCTTTAGAAAGCCAAAGGTTCTAGAGACATACACACAAACCACACACACACACACACCTTATGAAACTTGACTGGTTGCTTTGCTGGGCCATTATTTCGGGCTGGATGTTCCAGCTATCGATCCTTTTGGCAGTCCTGCTGTTGCTTAGCGTGGAGTTTGATGGCAGCGTGCCCAAAACAAACGTGTCCACCAGTTTACTCCGTCAACCCGTGATGTCCGCAGCTTGCGTTGTACACTGCGCCTTGTACGGTCGAAGGATTAAGAGTCCCTTTTCTGGGCACGGAATTGTCTGTCCATCTTGCTGGTGCTCAGGAGGGGATGACCTTCCGGGTGTCGGGAATCAGCCGCAAGGGGTTTCCCTCAAGGGAAACCACCAGCTACGGATCCATGGGAAAAATATTTGGGGGCTATTTTCCAGTTCTCATTCCCCGCCTCTCTCGCCGGCCAGCCATCCGTCTATTCTCATCACAAACCCGGCCTGGAGCTTGCCCTTCTCGTTGGGCAGGCTCTTGCCCGCTACGAAGGCGGAGCCCCCCTCGGAGAACTGGATCATCACCGGCCTGGCGCGCAGCGACGGAGAGACCGATGCTGGCCCCCGCCTCCGAGGCCTCCCGCCCCCCCCCCCCCTAAAAAAAAAGAGAAACACAACACACACATGCACCCTGGGTTGCAAACCACCACTAACACAAAGGGGTTAATATAACCACCGTGATTTACCTAAGGAGTCTCATCATCCAAAACCTACAAAAAAAAAACGTGTAGGTGTTGGAGGCCGGGGGGGAGGGGGGGGGGGGGGTGAAAAAAAGATTGCCCCAGTTGGGGGGAAGAGGGGAAACAAATCCATGGGGTGCAAATGAAATCTGGGGTCTTTTCCCGACATGGACTATGGATGGACTCAGCTCGCTCAAAGGAAGGACTGGACCCAGTCAGACGCACTTGTACTCAAACCTCGATTTGTCAGGGTCGCTTGAGTCGTTGCTGCACTAAAGAACGCTGGGAGGCATGCGGTTTGGCTGCTTCTCGACGAGTCACCCTTATGTGGTTGCGCAACCAGGTGTGCAGGCTGGACATAAGTCTGCGAGGCGCCGGGCCTGTTCAGAGAAGCCCCAGCTTCCAGCACGGAGTTGATGGTGCTCGAGCCTTTGCATCTCGGATTCGGACAATCGATTCCTCACCAATGGCAAATAACACGCAGGTCCATCGGAAAGAGGAGCGGTCACAATCGCTCGCGTCGAATGAGTTCATGCGCAGTAACCACTCTTCCAAACGAACTGCTTGCTCTGGTATATCCCAGCCTGACTGCAGCTGAACGACTGCTGAACGTGTTCATAACGCGCACCAGTCAATCATTTTCATGGAAGGAACACTTGCCAAGCTGCCACAAAGGATGTAAGTTTGTCAAGAGAGGTCTTTGAGGACCATGTTTAAACACGTGTTCCACACACGAAGATTCAGCTAAGTATTTGCTCATAATTCAGGCATTCCGGCATTCAGTATCCAGTATCTCTCACCCCAATGCCCCGCCAACAATGTTGGCGGTGACCCCTGTGAAATGAAACCTGGCAAAAGTTGCTTTGTAAATGAAGCCTCTTTGACATGGACGTTTACCTCCTTGGACGTTTCAAACTCATTTCACCCCATGTTTTTTTTTGCTGAGGGGCTGGTGCAGTTGAAGGCGGGGATGGCGTAGCCGTGCTCCTGTCAGGCGCAGACTGAGCAGCCTTCACGTCCACAACAACTCAGCAAGCTCGTGTAAGCATCAAACAAAGCAAACAGGTTTGGACGCGCGGTATATCTACGCGTTCATATATGTCTGTGTACATGTATATTCAGATGTATATGTTAAGATTTGTATATCTACATGTTCCAGCAAAACAAACACTCACAAACAAACAAACAAACAAACAAACAAACAAACAAACAAACAAACAAACAAACAAACAAACAACTCCACCGTCGCTTCTTGCATTACCCCTTGCTTCCCTCATTGCCCTCCACAGCCTGCATTCATTGTTGTGGAGACAAATGAGACGACAACAGATCGGCTGTTCCACTCAGATCCATTGCCCACTCAGACTGGCTGTTCCATTGGACCAAGGTTTGAGATGCACTCGCCTTGGCATGCTGGAGCAGGGCCCATGCGAGGTCGCCGGTGACCTCACGGTGCGCCGAGTCTATGCAGAGTTGGCTCTGACATCACAACAGTTTCTCAAGTTGAGCCTCCAAATTCCACATCTGAATTCCTCTTGACTCATCTCTTCATGTTCACCTATGTGAATGAAAATGCATGTGACACTGACGAACCAAGCGCTGGCCAGCTTCTTTCGGGGCAGCGTGTGGCATTATCTTTTCTAGCCGGTTGAAGCCCTAAATATTGCAAGTGCGGAGCAGAAAACCAAAGGGCACGGTCCACTAAGGGAAGCACTGTGACATGATATCTGTGGCCCCCCTTCCCCTGATACAATCTTGAACTTGCAATATATTGGGCCTCGGAAGACGGGTTACGCACTTGGCTTCAACATTGTAACTGGGGGAGAGGGGTCTGCACGCAGCGGGCGACGCCACAGATCTGGTGTCAACATGTGCCTTGGTGGCACTTGCAATATTTAGGGCTTCCACTGTACCCTCCCCATTCTCTTCAGGGACCTTCTCTTCAAAAAAGGGGGCCAAACCCTTGAAACATGGGTGGTGTTTTAAGAGAACGATGGCTGAGAATGGGGAATCAAACCTTAGATCCGCCCTTTTTGGCAAGGCGATGGATTCCCTCAGATTCGGCATGCCTGAGAGGCATTCCATGCTCATTACCCACGTGATAGACTTCCAAGAGAGATCACGACAAAGGGAGCTTCAGGCCAAACTCCATTTTTTTGAGTGAAGCCATGAGTCACAATCAAAACCCGGTATTAAAATGGTCTACCCAGAACCATGTGAAGAATGAAGAAGGCGGCCGCAGCTATTTATGGTTGGGATTCTCCCTTACTAACCGTCATCTAATTACCCAAAGGGTTTTGAGTATGGCTCCCATGGGTGGGAGGGCGGAACGAGCCGTGGCCACGACGACGCCCGCTTTCATGCCAGGGATGTCCCAGAAAGACATGGCCTGGGCGGTTTGTCTGCAAACAAAATCCTATTGCCGACACATCCTGGCAATGCTGAGACCATATCGCCCAGACGATTTTGACCCGCTGAAAAAGCTTGAATGGCATTGCCAATGGCAGCATCTCTTGAGTGCCTCTGAGTTGTGTACTGCGGTTGTGCGTAGATGAGGCGGGCGCAAAGACGCAAGGCAAAACTAAAAGGGCTTCGGCGACAATCTTGCCATGTGCCGAGCACGCAGTGCGATCAAGCCAGGTCCACAAGCACACTTGGTTCATAGAAGTGAATGCATCAAGTACATGGGGTTGACCAATATTCCTGGCCCCAAGATGACCATGGTTAACTTTCCCATGTGGTGAAAGTCTATCTTTTTGGGTGGTGTCCCTACTGGCCACCCCATTCGGAGCCTTTGATCAACCCCCACATCACGGAAGTTCAGACACCATGTCCTGTGAGCAGCCAGAAGCCCGTCCATGAGCGTTCTGCCTGACACCAAATGCTGGGCTGAGAAAGCAGCTAGATTGCCATGTGAGTCAATCCCCCCTTCCTTCTAAATGCTTTTGCTGTTCCAGGGAACTCCAGCCTACAAATGAGGCTGTGTCCAAAATAGCCAAAGCAAGTGGCAACGGAAGGGCATGGGCCCATGCGCTGACTGTGACTCTTGCTTCGGAGAAGGCCTAAAGCGTCGTTCCCACCGGCCGCACGAGATACCTGAGCTGCAAACTGGCAAAGAAAAGCTGGAAATTGGAACAGCTGTTGATGAGACATCCTGCAAAGGTAATGGATTGGATTGCGGTGGCTGATCATCTGGGCTCCCGGTTGACAGAAAGGAACCCCACATCTACAAGATTAGGATTCAACATCGTCGACTGCATTCTTCGACTTTTGAGCGGTGTTGAGGCAAGTGGATGTCCAGAGCAAAGGGATTTCTGCTGAGAAGGACACTACGCTGCCTGGGCGTATGTCCCTCCGTGGCTCATGCAGGTCTGCTTGCAGTTGGTGAGAAGCGGTGCAAGATATGGGGGTTGATCAAAAGGTTCGCTACGTGGGAAGACCATTGCGGAAAGCCACCAAAAAAATGACAGGTACCACTAAATGGGAAAATTACCCATGCTGATCAGCTCCCATATGTATCCTCCGCATTCCAAGAGACAGCCCAAGCTCATTAATATGATTGTCCATTTGGCTGGCTGTCTGTGGGCTACAGCGTAACATATGAGCTACGCCAGCTATTTGCTACATGGTTGAATGGTCGGGTGTTTCCATTTCCAACCCTGCAACCGTTTGGACTCATTGGCCTCTTTTTCCAACGACACATATTTTCCGTCTCGGGCCCGAAAAAGCAAGACCCGGAGGACTGAAATATGAGCCTTGGTCACTTGTCGCATGTCGGACATGACAACTCCCATTTGAGTCCCAATCAAAACCCGGTACTAAAATGGTCTACCCAACGAAAAGAACTACAAAGGCGGATCTCAGCTGCCATTTGTGGCAGGATTGTCCCTTGCTAACCTTCACTTCTGTGGGCCCTCCAGATCCCCCACTAAAAGTGACGAACTTTTCGTGGGCGAAATGGAAACCAAACACCCAAAGGATCTAAAACGCCTTCTTTTGGAACCGGATGGCTGGTTCCGCCACCCAAAAAACCAAAGGGGGGCGGTTTTTTTCTTGTGGCTCATTTGGCTGTGGTTGTCAAAACCCAGGAATCCCCTGGTGAACATCAAAGGTGGCAAATGGGTGTTCCGCCCCAAAATGGAGGCATTGGTTTGACCCATGGCCATTTCATCACTGGAGCCATATCGGGCTGAGCCCAAAGCAGCAGGTATCAGAATCGCTTCCCCGGCTGCAGCCAGCGGCGAGAGCAACATCTCCTGGAACCATGGGAGGCGTGGATCCTTGGCCCTTCCTTGGCCTTTTCGGTCGCCTCTTTTTGGAGTTGATCCCCCCCCCCAAAAAAAAAGTGCCTTTTTGGTGGGTTTAGAAGGAAACCCAAGAAAAACAAACACCCATTTTGGAGGTCCCTTGAATCAAGACACCCTTAAATGAGTGGTTCTTGCTTCTCCTTGAATGCCAAACCCATTTTGAGAGGGGGGGCGCTGCGCCCCCTCTAAAGGTTCTGCGTCAAGAGGTGCGATTGAGCCCATGTCCCTTTCGCTGAAACCGACGCGCGGTCACTTCCCTGCCTTCTTCACCGAAGGGCCTGTGTGCTGATCCAACACAAGGGGCGTTGGCTGCAACCCTCGATAAAAAAAAAGTTGACGCACATCCCAGGTCAAAAGATATCCCCCCCCCCAATGCCAGAGGACCCGCTTGGCCGTTTCTTCCAAATCAACTCATGCGCACGGCAGCTCGCACAAGATAGGGCGATAGATGTCAGAACCTGTCTGGAACGGACGTCACTAAGTGAGTGTTGACCCCCTCGAATTGCTTTTCTCGGTTAACAAGCCAAAGCAAACATTCACGTACTGCTGGGTGCGGAGTCTCTTCCCCAACGCTGTAGAAAGACTGAGAGGGTCCATTTTTTGGACACCCATAACTCTAGGGCTACCTTCCCCATTCTTTCCAGGGACCTGAATCTTTCTAGAAAACCTCCGGAAACCCAAAAAAACAAACGGATCCGGTTTTTGAACAGAAGGATGCTTGAAAAGAATGGACAAGGAATCACCCTGAAAATCCTACAAGTCTCCGCTTGGCTTCCCTTCAGGTCACCTGGCGCACGCCTTCCCTCGCGAGCACGAGCCCGCCTGCACTTGGCAGCACCTTGGTTCGTGGGTGGCGCCAGCTTGAGTGATTGGCCGAACCCCCTTTTGCATGGATACCAAAAGGGAACACAAAAGGCTTGGTACCCCTTTTTGGTGGGTACCAAAAGGGAAAACCAAAAGGAAGAACTCCATTATTGTGGGTCCACAAAAAAACACACTCGAATGGCTGAAGAGCATGTGCTGATTGCTGCTCCGCACTAAGTGCGCCACATCCCAACCCCACACCTGCGAATCAGCGTGCAAAATGGGGGGTCTTTAGGATTTTGGACACCCAAAATGGTGGGATGTGTCCTTTCGGTTTCCCAGTTGGCCATGGGTCCAAATCCCGTACCCCCAGTGAACATGCCAATCCCCTCTAAAATAGGCCCTAAATGGGTGGTGAATTCACCTATCCCAACCAACATGGGATCCAAAACGGTTTTGACAACCACAGCCAGTTGAAAACCGCAAAAAAGCGGGGCAGGACTCTCCAAAAAAACAAGACACCCAGATGGCAAAGACGGCCTCCGTCTGCTCCTTGTCATCGCTCACCTCTGTCTTAGCCGTGAAGCTTCCGTAGCCCTCCTGCTCCAACCTGAGGACTGACAGTGACAGGTGTCCTTTTAGGGGCCCGTTAGATGGGGTAGCCCCCTTTGAGATCAAGACCGACAGAAGAAAAGGCCACAAGGGTTATGAGCCCAAAGCCCTAAGCATCCCTGTCGGAATGGATGGTGGGATGCTGAGAAGGAGGAGAGCGCGCAGCGCGGAGCCGGGGGTCATGGTGCTGGAGGCGGAAGGAGAACTTCAGCCGGGAGACCCACAAGAAGAGGAGAAGGAAAGGGCTCCGAGGGGGGTGGACGTGAACCCGTTCTGGAGCCAGAAGGTGCAAGATGAAGCGGCACTCAGAGCAAGCCGACCAAGCGGCCTACCGCCGGTGCCGGGGACGGATGATAGGCTGGATGAAGAAGGAGTTCTTCGTGGAGAACCTGGCCGGGGCAGGGGGCTGCTTGGAGGGCATGATCAGCAGATCGGTAGCCACCCTGAGGCGGATTCCAGCCGGGCGGATGGTGGAGAGTTTTGGAGCGAGGTAAAAAGAGATCTCATGGCGGATCTGGAGGGTGCGGCCGTCGCCAATGGAGGAGATGATCTTCACCCGGAAGATGTCCGTGGGCCCGAGCTGGATCGAGACCTGCGACCTGAAGGAGGACGTAGGAAGAGAGGTAATGAAGCTCTACTACATGGTGTGGGAGGAGAGCCGACTGGGAGGGAGGAAAGGAGACAGGGTGAAGGAAAAGGGTCGTTGAGAGATGTGGAGGGCAGACCTGGCTTCATGCGAGGAAGGCCGATGGAACGTGAAGGAGATCCTCGGGAGCCTGTGATGGTGGACCCGCGGATGCAGCGATTGGAAGAGGATGCGAGAGATTGGCAAGGTACTGGACTTCGGGATGCACGGGGGCCGCTACGTGAACAGCGAGCTCTTCGACCAGGTGAAGATCAAGCTCATCAGCAAGATCGGATGGTACAGGGCGAAGAGCAGCACGGAGAAGAAGACGCCTGGGAAAAGGCGGTCAAGAGATCTGGAATCCTGGGCGGAAGAGGTCGAGATCCAGCCGGAGCTGCGGGAAGTGAAGATGCAGCGAGGAGTTGGACGTGGGCGGGCCGTGGTCTGGACTTGGACTGGGCCTGGAATGATGAGCACAAGGTATGGATTCCGGAGAGAGCTCAACGCCCCAATGACGAGGAGGAGCTGATCGGCGAGACGGACCTGTTCGCTGATATGGAGAGGAACTATATGGATGAGCGTGCAAAAAGCTGATGGGAATGGAAAAACAGAAGGAGTACCTCTTCGGGAGAGGTGAGGAAATGGCAGGAGAACACGCGGGTGTGGAAAGCGCGGGCTAAACAAGCAGAGAGTGAGAGGGCCGAGCTGGCGGACAGGAGAAGTTTGATACACCGGCCGCGGAGATGTTTGAGACACCCATGGCAATGATGGTGACCCCCGTGATGCCGCCGCCACCACCGCCTCCACCGGTGGCTATGGCAAACCTCGAGGCCAACAAGTACACCGAGGGCGCGGACGAGATCGCCTACGAGAGGGCAGAGGTGGACACCTGGAGGTACCAAGGTTCCAGAGGGAAAGCCGGTACAGGAGAACGTGGCTGAGCCGGAGAGATGGCAGGCAAGGTGGGAAGACCAGCAGGATTCTGGTGGCTGGTGGTACAGGAACTGGAGCGGCATGTGGAACTGGGACAATCAGGAC